GTGTGGCAACACTTTATTCCGATGAACCAAGGTTAGTTTTCGTTTTCGTTTTCGTTTTGAAGAACTTATTTGTTGAACTTGTTTCTTGTTAATTTTTGTTGAACTTCTTTGTTGTTATTGTTTGGGTGAACTTGTTTGTTGTTGTTGTTTGATTGAACTTGTTTGTTGTTTGTATTAAAGTGAGGGGCAAAAGAGGAAAACCACAACATTTTAAACGTTATGTTGCACTTTGATAAGAGAGAGAAACACACTTCAAAGATCTGAGAGTTAGAGAGAATGCAGAGAGAGCCACCCTCGCGCTAGGGTTCCACACCACCACACTGGTCGGAGAAGCACACAACTGACCGGAGCAATGGAGCACAACACAGAGAGAAAAATAGAGACACTCACAAGGTACTACATTTCAAACTTTTCACATTAACAAATTCTGAATGTTTTTACAGTATTTATAAACCTGAATAATAAATTGTTTTCTGTTTTGTTTACATTCTAACACTCCTCCTAAGCAAAACACTGAAAGAAACTTTGAATATACGTGAAACCCTCTTTTCCACCGATTGAATTGGTGAAAACTCCATCTCTTTTGATTTTTAGTTATTTCCACCGATTAAAATCAGTAAAAACACCTCCTTTCGAGCACACACACACACTTTTCACCGATTAAAATCAGAGAAAACTCCTCCTAGATCGATCTTCCTCTCTCCGATGAAAACCCTAAGTTTTCAACTCCTTACTGTTGTGATCTTCGACGATCTCAGCTCGCACCATTCCAATATGCTTTATGAGTTTCAGAAAGCGTTCACCTTTAAGGGCTTTGGTGAGTATATCTGCTTGTTGTCTACCAATAGTCTCAACCTCCTAGATAGTTCAACCTTAAACCCTTCTAACAAGAATCCCAGCCAAGTTGCTTGACAAGTAGCTTCACAGGCAGCTATGTATTCTGCCTCACATGATGACAAGGCAACCACTGGTTCCTTTCTAGAACTCCAGGAAATAGGAGATCCTCCCATGAAGAAAATATACCCTGCAGTGCTCCTTCTGTCTGTCTCATCTCCACACCAATCTACATCTGAGTAAGAAGTAATTTGTACTTCTTCTCCAGCCTCTCCTCTTCTTAGTAGAATTCCATATGAGTTTGTACTCTTTAAGTACCTTAGTATTCGTTTGACAGCATTCAAATGTGATACTCTAGGACACTCCATGTACCTGCTTATCACTCCAACACTATAGCTCAAATCAGGCCTGGTGTTACAGAGATATCTAAGACTTCCAACCATTCTTTAGTAAGTTGTTGGATCAACAGCTTCCTCTTCTAGCTCTTTCTCTAGCCTTAACCCTACTTCTGCGGGGGTGTTTACTGCATTACAATCAGCCATCTCATACTTCTTTAGTAGGTCTAGGACATATCTGGACTGATGCATTACTATTCAACTCTCAATCTTAGTAAACTCAATTCCAAGAAAATAACTGAGTCTTCCAAGGTCACTCATTTCAAACTCCCTTTGCATTTCAGCTTTGAAGATTGAAATCAACTCTTCACAACTTCCAATGACTAACAAGTCGTCCACATATAGACACACAATCAACTTCTCTGTTTTGCCTTTGTGTTGACAGCACTGTACATATACTCCGTGTTCTGAAACACATTTTTCAAAGCCAATACTACCCATGAACCCATCAATCCCCTAGTTCCAGGCCCTTGGAGCCTGTTTAAGCCCATATAGAGCTTTCCTCAATCTATATACTTTGTCTAGTTGCCCTTCAACCTCAAAGCCCAGTGGCTGTGTAACATAGACATCTTCCTCAAGATTTCCATTTAGGAAAGCTGACTTCACATCCAACTGATGTAAGGTCCAGTGAAACTTAGTGGCTAAGGACACCACTAATATGATTGTCTCAACTCTGGCCACAGGAGCAAATACCTCTCCATAATCCACTCCAGCCTTCTGTAGAAATCCTTTAGCAAACAATCGTGCTTTGTATCTCACAACAACACATTGTGGGTTTATCTTTGACTTGTAGACCCACTTCAATGCTATAGGTTTCTTTCCAGAAGGTAACTCCACCAATTTCCAGGTCTGATTTCTTTCTATAGAATAAATTTCCTTCTACATAGCCTTATACCACCTCTTATCCTTCACGGCCTCGTCAAACTCAACTAGTTCAGCCTCTGCATTTAATGCATAGTGCACAAATGTCCTTCTGATGTGAGAGTAGCCTCATAGGATAAGTCAAAGTCCCTTAGGTGAGCTGGCAAATTAGTAACACGTGATGATCTCCTTCTACTATCATTATTCCCATCTTTCTTAGTCTCAACTACAGTAGTTTCATCTTCCAGAGTGATGGTTGATGCCCCTTGCCTAGTTGCTTCCCACTCCCAAACTCTAGTCTCATCAACAACCACATCCCTACTGATGCAAGCTATCCCTGATGCAGGGTCATACAACTTGTACCCTCCAGTGGAGTGATAGCCTACCAAAAATCAAAGGCACTCGCTTGTCATCCAATTTTCACCTCAGCTAATCTGGTATATGTTTGTAGCACATAAAACCAAAGATCTTTAGATGTTTAACATCTGGTTTCATCCCTGTTCAAGCTTCTTCAGGTGTCAAACCATCCAGTTTCTTTGTTGGGGACAAATTCAGTATATAGGTGGTTGTCAAAACTGCCTCTCCCTACAGAAAGTTAGGTAATTTCTTACTTTTTAACATGCATCTAACCATATTCATTATGGTTCTATTCTTCCTCTCTGTTGCACCATTGTGTTGTGGTGTATAGGGAGGGGTAATCTCATGCGCAATCCCCTCACTCTCACAGAAATTTCTGAATTCAATGGAGGTATACTCTCCTCCTCCATTTGTTCTCAACACCTTCACTTTCTGTCCACATTGCCTTTCCACAAGAGTTCTAAATTTCTGAAATACCTGCAACATTTCTCCCTTTCTTTTAATCAAATAGACCCAGCACTTTCTAGTCCAATCATCAATGAATAGTAGAAAATATCTGTTACCTCCAGGTGTCTCCACTTGAATAGGACCACAAACATCTGAATAGATCACCCCTAGTTTCCTTGTAGATTTCTGGGGTAAACATTTTTTAAAACTACCCCTAGTTTGTTTGCACTGAATGCATTCTTTGCAAACAGTTTCTGGAATTTCTACCCTAGGCAAGCCATTCACCATATTTTTCTGGCCTAACAGAAACAGATATTTAAAGTTTAGATGCCCATACCTTAAATGCCACAACCATTCCTCCTTACTTTCTGATGTAGTGAAACATTGGTGATTTACTGCACTCATTACTACTCTAAAAGTTTTGTTCTGTGATAGTTTAGCTTACACAATGATCCTCTTATGTTTATTGAAAATGCTGAGACTATTATTCTCCATTTTCATCACATATCCCTTCTGTAGTAATTGTCCCAAGCTTAGCAGATTAGTTTTCAGCCATGGTACATACAGTACCTCTTCAATTATAACTTCTTTTCCCTCTGCATGTCTTAGAACAACCCTACCAGATCCCTTTGCATTCAAACTTCTATCACCAGCAAACCGAATCTTTCCTTGAGTAGCCTCTAGTATTTTCACAAACCATTCTTTCCTCCCTGTCATGTGGGTGGAACACCCAGAATCTAGGTACCACACATAATTCTCAGATGAATCATCCTCAGTTTTAGCCATCAACATTATTGTCTCTGAATCTGATTCCTCCTCTTGAGCCAGATTGGCCCTTTTCTTAGGTTTATTCTTAGCTCCTTCACCTTTCCAGCACTCTTTGGCATAATGCCCAAGTTTCTGGCAATTATAACACTTGACTTTCTTTTTATCAAATTTCCATTCTCCATCTACATTCTTCTGATTTCTCACCTTTCCTGATTCACTAGACTCTTCCGCTTGCTGGTCCTGTGAATCTTTCACTTTCTTGCCTCCTTGCCTACCATTCTTGAACCCTTTCCTACCTTTTAACTGTGATCTGGACTATAGGGCTTGCTCATGACACTGCTTGCACTCATTGATGCGAAATTCATGAGTCTCTAATGAGTGCAACAGTTCCTCAATCTCCATGGTTTCCTTCATTCGAGTCTCCTCAATTGCAACCACAACATTATCAAATCTAGATGATAGAGTTCTCAGGATCTTGTCAATAATGTACTCATCAGATATCCCATTTTTACAAGCCCTCATTTTATTCACCAATTTTTGTACCTTATCAAAGTACTCAGCCACGGTTTCACTCTCATCCATGACTAGAATTTCAAACTGTCTTCTTAGCGCCTGCAATTTCACCTTTGTGTTTCTGTCTCCATCACCATAGGTCTTCACTAGGATGTCCCATACCTCCTTAGCAGTAGCAGCCTTAGAGATCTTGTTAAAGATCTTTGGGCTGACACACTGGTATAGCAAAAATCTTGCCTTGCTGTCCAGTTTCACTTGCCACTTGTAATTCTTTTTCTCTTCTTCAATAGCCCTGTCACTCAACTCAGGCAAACCGTCTTCTATCACCTCTGAAACATCCTAGAAACCAAAAATGGCTTGCATTTTGATGCGCCAGTCATCAAACTGCTTCCCATCAAACACTGGTAATGGTCCCTGTATTCCTCCAAATCCTGTCATCCTTTATTGCTGAGTTCTTGTAGTTTCTTTGATTTTAAACCACCCAAAGAAACCTTCTTTCTACTCATCTGGATACACACAATTCCAGATCACACACTAGGAACAAACAACACGAACCTATGCTCTTGATACCATATTAAAGTGAGGGGCAAAAGAGGAAAACCACATAACGTTTTAAACGTTATGTTGCACTTTGATAAGAGAGAGAAACACACTTCAAAGATCTGAGAGTTAGAGAGAAGGCGGAGAGAGCCACCCTCGCGCTAGGGTTCTACACCACCACACTGGCCGGAGAAGCACACAACTGACCAGAGCAATGGAGCACAACACAAAGAGAAACACAGAGACACTCACAAGGTACTGAATTTCAAACTTTTCACATTAACAAATTCGGAATGTTTTTACAGTATTTATAAACCTGAACAATAAACTGTTTTCTATTTTGTTTACATTCTAACAGTTTGATTGAACTTGTTTATTGTTTGATTGGACTTGTTTGTTGTTTGTTATTGTTGTTTGTTGTTGATACTATATTACACGTTCATAGTTCATGCTTTAAAATAAATAAAAAAATTGATTAACGTTGTTTATTGATAAAATTCGACGTTAAATTTAACGTCTATTGATATGACGTTGTTCTCGAATTCGATATGAAAGGCCCAAAATATTCAACGTTGTATGCTGTTTTTGTACTAGTGTTTGTTAGTTTTAAAAAAATCTATTGTTGAAAATATTATTAGACGTAGAAATAAGGAATTGCAAATGTTATATTCTCCCGTACGAAAAGAAAAAAGATAAGAAAAAGAAGACTAAATCGATATCATCCAGTCAACTTAATAACCTTATACTTCAAATTAACTCATTTAGTCTTTAAAGTCCATCTTTCAACAATATATCTACCAATTAATTAATATTATTTGTATGAAACTAAAAAGATCCGTTTATTCTAGAAACATTGCTTTCAACATGGACCCAAATGAATCCATAATTCAACGAATAAATTCTTAAACTAATCCTGAAAAATAAATCTATAAATTTTTATTAATATTTATAACTACCGATGTTAAAATAAGCGTTTCGTGTACGTATTTTTTTAGGTTTTTTAACCTTCCGGTCCTTATCTTTACTGAGTAACCTATTAATTTACATTATTTACTAGGAACTATTTATAATTAAGAAATCATGATAAAATATTGAAAGTATTAAAACCCAGTTGTAAAATATTGTAATTAAAAATATTTTAATGAGCATATTCATCTTTGAAAGATGGATTTAATATTTGTTCAACAAAAGAAGACACTAAGACTGAAAAGTGAAAGCAACTTGCCCCAAACAGTAATGCTAAATAAATTTAAAAGTCAATCCTGTACTGCCAATATTTTTGTTATCTTTTTTTATTTCCTACGGGAGAAAAAACATTTGCAATTTCCTTATTTCTTTTTTTACTACCCCCGTTGGTGTATTAATCTTATGATATCTAGGGAGGATGTTTTTGTAACTCACCCACACACAGCATCTTTATGACATCGTAGAATATTTGAGCTTCACGTCTAAATTCGCGACGGCGCATGAAAAGTTTAACGGTTGAGGCGTTAACTTGACGTCGAATTTAAAAAAATTAGACGTTAAATTACCGTCGAAGCGATCGAGTTTATCAATAACGA